AGGTGTTAATGTAAGATGTTTATTAGTGCAATTTATTTAGCACAATGATCACATTAAAATGTCCCAATATACAAACTACTGGAATCTAAAGTCACAAAAAATACAAACTTAGGTATATGAACAAAGCTATAAAAATATCACTTAAAAAACAAAGTTCTACATCTTCAACACTGGGCCAGAAAAGAAAAAGAGAGAGAGCGCATATAAGAAACATCACATTTCAACAAAGCAACATCAACCAATCTGGCTGCCTCACCAGTGAGAGACTGGGCCACTCCACTGTGGCCATCATGGCAGTACAGCATTACATTATGGGACTCGCAACCTCATATGAAACTGTGTGAAACACTGAATTTATTTCTTTCAAAATGAAACATCCAAGTAAAACAAATGGAGCTAACAATATACACCAAATTTTAGTTGGCTGTTTGTAGCAAATTTCAACAATTCCATAAATTCAAACAGAAAACATATTTGGAAAAAAACAAATTTCAAACAAAAATAAACAATGGAAAGGAAATAAAAGTGGAATAAATCAATGTCAGTGATGAAGCGAGTGTGTGCCTTTGACTACTGCATCAGGAGAGCTGCACTCAGGTTCCTCTGCCTACCTGTCACTGAGACCAGCTACAGAGACTGGTTAGAATTGAGAGAATAGCTTCAAACCTGATTTCAAGAAGCTAGCGCTACTAGTTTTACAAAGTTCCCTGGCCAAAAACAACAACAATAACTTGTTAAACAACTGCACACCAAAGGGAAAGAGTTGTGTTTTATTTCAAGGTGTGCTCTCCTATGGTAAGACTTTCCATATTTTGTCAACTGTGTCTCTCCTGTCCAGAACTAATAGAAGGAATTCTTGGCAGAGAAATCCTCCTCTAAGATCCTTGTACAAGAGGGAATTGCTTACTAAATTCCAGAAGGAATTGTAAAGACTAGGTTAAAACTTTTACGGTATTCTGCTTTTACCATCCAGAAGTGGTTTTATATCGGAGGGTCTAAAACAATGTACAAATCTTCCTCAGAAGATGGTGACACTTTATTTCTTTTAACCTGAAAAAATCGGTAGCTTAGAGGTTATAAAAACCTCCATAATCAGTAAGATGACAGAAAATTAAAACGAGTATTTCACATTCCAGATCCTAAACCAAAATTCTTCTAAGACTTCATAACACGGTCGTGTTTCATATTCTATATCCAAAACTCTGATCAAAGCTTTTCATTGTAAAAGTTCCACAGTACTTATCCCAAATAGTTCTAGACTTTTTAAGCTATTGGTTTGGAAAAATGAACAAAAATAAGAAAGTCTCATTTCAACCATTCTTAGAGTGTGAGGAATATTAGAATGTGTGAATGTAAATGCTAACGTTCAAGGTTAAGGATTTTAAACACATGTCCATGTGTGATCCACAAATCCCACCTGTATGCTGTGTAAAGGTACCTCCAGAGTTCAAAGAGATACTAATCCTAAACACAGTTTAAGTCCAATCACATAATCATTTCATTAGAAACCTGATGAATTGCTTGTGTTTCTTAAATGTGTCACAACTTAGTTTCATTCTGGTGTTGTTACAGAAAAAGTTTTCTATCTGTATCAACATCTCACTATTCTAATCATACAGGATTCAAGCACATTATAACTTGGTTCCATTTTATTTAACTTCTCAATTCTTACTTTGATAGTTCATTATCATGTTAAAAGTAACTTTGGTTATAAAATCCCACACACAAGAATAAGGTTGTCAAATTTTTAGGGGAAATCTAAGCCTAGATAAACAGATGATTAATTTAATAATAAAAACAATTTTGGCTCAACTGCAAATGACAACAGATGATTTAATCTGGGGAAATATTTTTTAAAGTTTAATCAGTCACTCTAAATTAGAAAGCTTTAAATTAAAATAGCTATTGTTATTCAGATTTTAGTAAGGTGGAGAGAAACTTAAGTAGAGTGAAAGATTCCCAAAAACCCCACACCCACTGCCGTGGAGTCAATTCCGACTCATATCGACCCTACAGGACAGAGTAGAACTGCCCCATGTGGTCTCCAAGGCTGTAAATCTTTACGGAAGCCAACTGCCACATCTTTCTTCCGTGGAGCGGCTGGTGGGTTCAAACCACCGACCTGTCTGGTTAGCAGGAGAATGCTTTAACCATTGCACTACCAGGTTCCTCCTGAAAAATGAATCACCCCTAAAAGCAAGCTTACAGAGGTAAAGGGGAAGCGGAGGAAAAGGGAGGTTCACTGCAGTTCTGGTGGACTCAACCCCTTTATGAAAGCACACGTTCTCATTTGGTGTTACAATATCCTGATTCGTGGTGAAGATTTGAAAACCAAATGAAAAAGGCCAACTAAAAATGTTTAAAGAAAGAAAAATGTGAGATTGAATTGAATGATAAAATGAATTTTAAAAAAAAGAACAAGAAATAAAAGATATTAGATGATTTTTATAAAAATACTAAAATTAAAAAGAATCGTCTTGCACTTTGTGTTCACAAAGGGAAAGGAAGTTCCAACAAGCCCTGCAGAGCACAAAAGGAAGCAGGTGGTTTGCTCAGGCATCAGGAGAAACAGGCCCCGGAGAACTACCCCCAGCTTCTTCTAAATCGTGTCCAGGAAGGAAAAGCAAAGCTCTGCAAAATGCTGAAGGTTTTAGAAGTGTAACGATGCTTAGGAAAGATCACTGGTCTGGTGTTGCAGCAGCCCCAGTGTTGAGATACACGCTAGGCTTCTAGGAGGAGAAAAATAGAAAGGGAGGAAGAAGTAGGAAGGGGAAGGAAAGGGCGGAAAAGCACAGGTCATTAGTAAACAGCAAGTTCAACATAGCAAGGTGCTCATAAACCCTTTATATGCCATCAGTGGAGCTGGCCTCCTCTTAGGACTACAGATAAAGTTCTGAAGGAAACAGAAATCAGAATTTTCAAAATGGCATTGAGCTAGATGCTCGTTAGTGATGGCCAAATTAGAATAAAGTCACAACATGCTCCAAAAACATGCACCCTTGACTCCCTACTCCCTCCTCCCCGCAAGAAAACATGCACATTTTCAGTAAAGCAATACAGTTAAGAGGTCAAATTCAAAACCCAAACATCCACCCTGTTGTGTAAGCCATACTCTACCTGAGGGTAGAGAGGTATCCACAAGCAGGAAGACCTGCTCTTATAAGGTCCTGGGTAGTTCAAAAACAGCTGGGTTCTTTCTAGTCTCTAGGGAACTAAAATCTTGAAACAGTAAGGGCCAGGCTGCTTGCTTTTCCTGTTTTGTCTTTGTTTTCCCCGCACTATAAAGATTTGGCAGTGGGGAGTAACTGCTACATAGAGCCTGAGTCTCATCACTCTTCTGATCAGACTTGATATCCCGCTACAGAAGAAACCTAGTTTTGATAGTTCTTTCCTTCCTGGATGAAAATGGCATCCACTTTTACAACTGCTTAATCAAATCAATCCCCTCCAGCCTTTCCTTCTCCTGGCACTGGCTATGGGTTAAAGAAAGCTGAAATTAGTCATTAAAATAAAGTTCACATTCAGGTTTCTTTTCCTTTAATCACGGGGATATTTGTATAAATGTTTTCATAAAACAAAACTACATAAACAATTACTTTCAAAGCAGGCAGAGAAAAAGTAAATACTACATAAGAATACGGTTATCAAAGAAATATCAAAATTTCAGTTCACGAAAGTGGCACATCTGATAGTTTTTTGCTTTTAAAGTAAAGCGTTCTTAATTCATGAGCTGCTAATCAGGATGTTCATGTCACTAGGTAAAACTAACATTCACGACAAATAGGACCTGTCGTCAATAAATCTGAGATATAGAGATACAGCATTTCCTAAGATCACGAAATAAAGAATAAATCCTGGAATAACTGCTATTGCTAACAGAAGGCTTTTCGGAAGCCTTAGGAACCAAGAAATCCTATGGCGGCTTAAGGCTGAGATACGTGTACAAGAAGAGAACCACAGAAACAGTACATGTCTCATGCTTACACTGTGTAATGTGAATCAAATGTTAAGTCCCAGTTAAAAGCATACTCTGCAGAGAATGATATGCTCGATCATTAGAAGACAACTCATTTGAGCCAACAGTGTCAGCCTGATCACAACTGCAATTAAGTGCAGTAATTTATAAAAATATAACATCAGACTGATGTTGATAGCAAATGACTCACATCGGCTACCTAAAAAAAGATTTCCATAGTACATGCCTATGGATTCCTGCTACTGCTCTGAGAAGTGTACTTACTAAAAGGATGCCGGGGGTGGGGGGGTTGTTATGTGGTAGGAACCCACAGGAACCTCAGCATCCTGGGTGGTGCACCCTCAGCTTTAACTGAAAGGTTGGAGGTTTGAGAGTAAACCAGACGAGCCTTGGAAGAAAGGCGTGGTGATTTACTTTAGAAAAATCAGCCACTGAAAACCCTATGGAGCACAGTTCTCCTCTGACACTTCCTGGGGTGGCCATGAGTCAGAGTTGACTATGGCAATTAATTTTTTTTAAGTAATGGGCTAGGAATAAGTTAGAGACAAATTTCAAAAGCAACAGTTACGGGAAAGATAAAGGAAAATAAGACAGTCGGCAAAAGAGAAAGGAAAGAACTTGTAATTCGTAACTCATAGGTTTCCTACCACTGAGGCCAGTAAAGCAAACTAAGGCAGTGTTCATTCAGGGAAGAATACCTAAAAGGCTCTAGTTGGGCAAAGGCCTCCAATATAATGTATTTTGAGGATGATTATTCTGCATCTATAAAAGCATTTAATATTGCTCTAGCTGTTGAATGGTATAAATGCAAAAACTACTCAAGTAATATCAAAGGAAAGTCATTCTTCTCTTGCCTTAGTTGGAGGTTTTATGTGGCAGAAGCCCTTGGTTTAAATGTATCCAACAAGGGGGGCAAAAAAAAGAATAAAATCCTCAAATAATTCATATGCTTCCACTAGGAATCCTCCGCAAAGGCACTTACTGAGACTGTTTCACCCACACATTTGGGGAATCTTGGACTTACCTGTAGTGTCATTCCCTTTTATTTCATGATCACCATTGGCAAGCACTGCTGGTTTAGAAGATGGAGTACCTGCAACAACCATGGAGAATAATTACCTATTTGTGGCTGATAGAAAAATGAAAACCAGATCCAATTACCATCTAACTAGTAAAAGTTTTGTCACTCTTCATATCATTTGCTTTAAACACATAAAAATCTGTCCAAAATTTAAAATTCAGAAGCACAGAAGAGAACTGAGGCAGTAAGTCCCACAGTGCCCAAGCTCTGTCAAGTATTACCACTATAGCAAAGTCCTTCCAGATAAGCCAGGCTGTCTTTTCTGTTCTATAAATTGTTAAACATCACCATTAAATTCAATAAAACCATCATGAAACACCTGAGGTTTACTATGTATGATTCAAATCATATGACCCAAGGACATGGGGCCTTTTAGAACAACTCTCACATTGGAAGCACAGGGCACCACCACTGCTCCTGGACGGATGATTACACGGAGGTCAGCAGCAGTGCTTCTAGAAGCAGAGGGCTACTTCTTTCTCTTTCTCTTCCTCTTTTTAATTTTAGCCATTCTAATAGTGTGTAGTCATGTCTCATTCCCTAATGACTAAAGATGCTGAGTATCTTTTCATATGCTTATCTGCCGTTCCTGTATCTTCTTTGGTGAACTTAATGGTAAAAATCTTTCTTTTACTATTTTTTAATTGGGTTGTTTGTCTTCTTAACATTGAGTTTTGAGAGCTCTTTATATATTCTGAATACCAGTCCTTTGTCAGATTAATTTTGTAAATATTTTATCCCAGGCTGTAACTTGTCTTTTCATTTTCTTAACTGAGTCTTTTGAAGAGCGGAAGTTTTAAATTTTGATGAAGTCTAATTCATCACTTTTTCTTTTATGGATTATGCTTTTCGTGCAGTAGCCAATAAATCGTTCCCTAATCCAAAGTCACAGGATATTCTCCTGTGTGTCCTCTAGTTTTATAGTTTTCATACTGAGGTCTATGATACATTTGGAGTTAAATCCTATGTATGGTATGAGTCTAGGTTCATATTTTGCTAAAACATCTAGTTGTTTTGGTATGATTTGTTGAAAAGACTATTCATATTCTGTTAAATTGTCTTTGCGTATTTGTCAAAAATCAATTGATCATACATGTGTGGGTTATTTCTGGACTCTTTATTCTGTTCCACTGATCTATAAGTCTACCCATTTCACCAGTGCTACACTGTCTTGATTATTGCATTTGTATAGTAAGTCTTGAAGTCAGATGGTAATGTAAATTCTCTAACTTGGGATTTTTTCAAAATTGTTTTGGCTATTCAAGTTCTGCATTTCCAGACAAATTTTAGAATCAGTTGTTGATTTATACAAAAAATCCTGATGAAATCTTTATTGTGATTGCGTCAAATATATAGTTCAATTTGGGGATGTATAAGCATTTCTGAAAGTCTCAGACTATATCCAACATGTTAGCAACCTGCCTAGCTCTGCAGTCAGCCTGCCAACCCAAGAGTTTTCTATGAATCACTCTCAAGAACCTCACAGAGACATTTTTCATAAGCAACAAGTGAAAATCTAGAACATGTTACTAAAATATAAAATGCAAGATTTTACTTCGTTAGCTTTTTTTTTTTTATTTAAGATTTTACTTTTAATTACAACAAAGTATGCTGTTCAATCTTCTGGTCCCCACAAATTCAAGGAGGAAATCTTTCCCATAAACTTCTCATTGAAAAAGATCATTTTGTTATCTCAGAGGAACAACCTAAAAGAACAAGGCAGACCAAAAACAGTATCAATTAATTGGAAGAAGGAGATAGAAATAAAGGAATGGAAGATAATAGACTTTTATTAAATATACACTACGTACAAGGCATCACGCTAGGTCTCACATATTGTGTTTTACTTATCCAAAGAGATGCCAAATATGTTCCATCACATAAATTAAAGAAATTCCCTCTTACCCTCACACAATGAGCTTATAAGATTTGTTCTTCGTAGCTCAAGAAAGAATTTTTTTTAATCTGCCTCATTTAAAAATGCAGATTACAGGAAAACGAAAATTACAAAAACTGATACCATTTTTTGGCTACGAGATTGATAAAAGCTTCTTAAAATTTGATAATAGCCAGAGTTGGCAAGGGTGTAGGAAAATAAATAATTTCATACACTATTAGAGGGAGTATCAATTGGAACAACTTTTTAATAAAACAAATTTTTAAATCCCACTTAACCCACTTTTAGGTATTTAGTTCACAAAAAGACATAAAAGTATACAAAAGTGAATGCAAACAAGACGTTTATTATGGCAGTCTGAAAATAACAAATGTCCACCAATAAATTCACTATACTGTGAAATAGTATGCAGCCATAAAAAGAAATGAAGTAGCTCTTCATGTACAAATGTGAGATGATGTCAGGACATACTGAAGGAAAAACAAAAAGTTAATATGGCATAATAGCATTTATGGAAAAAGCAATACACACATAAATATACAGAAAAAAATATGAAAGAATATACACCAAACACCACTGGTAACTGCTAAAGAATGGAATGTGGGGGGCTGGAGATGGGGATGAAAAATGAAGACTTTCACACAAACACAAATTCTTGTTTTAACTGAGCACATTAAAGAAATTAAGCATGGGAAAAAAGAGAGCAAACTGAGGCACACCTGTCAGCCTCAACACCCTACACAAGTCCTTAAAAACAGAAGAAAAGACTGTTCAAAAGAATGAAGTAACAACTACCCAGACACCGACCGTTCTGACAAGGATCACAATAGAGGGTCCCAGACAGAGCGGGAGAAAAATGTAGAACAAAATTCACACACACAAAAAAAAAGACCAGACTTACTAGTCTGACAAAGACTGAAGGAACTCCCGAGACTATGGTCCCTGGACACCCTGCTAACTCAGAACTGAAGCCACTCCTGAAGTTCACGTTTCAGCCAAAGATTAGACAGGCCTTTAAAACAAACATTAACACACGTGAAGAACATGCTTCTTAGTTCAATCAAGTATACGAGACCAAATGGGCAACACCTGCCCAAAAGCAAAGATAACAAGGGAGGAGGGGACAGGAAAACTGGACGAATGGACACACAGCATCCAAGGTGGAAAGGAAAGGGGGAAAGTGCTGACACATCACAAGGATTGCAGCCAATGTTACAAAACAATGTGTGTATACATGTTTGAATGAGAAAGTAATTTGTGCTGCAAACTTTCACCTAAAACACACACACACACACACACACACACACACACACATCCCTAGAAATCAAGAAGGGTACCCTCCAGTGCACCAGAAATTACAAGAAATCACCAGGAAGATGAAAGCAAATGAGATCACACTGAAGGACAAATCACAGGCAAAAGGCACGGGAAAGCAGGACTCCAGGGTACTCTAGTCTTTGCAGCAGCAGGGGTGTTGGGGATGCCACCAGAAGCTGCCAAGTGGGTCCTACCTCCTTCCTTCTCCCACCACTACAACCCTTAGCCTTGTGCCAGCCCCCTGATGGGAGCAGTGAGAGGCTGGATGCTTTGGCATAAGAGGAGCAAACTCCCCAGGTGACAGGTGATAACCGGAGGAGTGGGGAAACCTCAAACCCACAAGATTAGCTATTGGCATACGCTACTTGGCAGGCAGTAGAAAAGTCATGCATCACAGGGAATCTCAAATAGACAGTGTAGCCAAATATTTGAAGAAATCTACTACCATAAAGGAAAGGTTATCACATTCAAAGAGAATACTACCCAGGGAAACAATGTTGATAGAGCAAATAGAGGATTTTTTTAAAAATACATTATTTCCTTCAGAAGGATAGAAGAAAGTATTACAAATCTATGAAACAAAAGGAAGCCCTAAACAAAGTGAATTACTTAATGACTGAGTAACAAATCCTTTTGTTACATGGTTTCCAATTATTTGCTTTTATCAAAACTGAAAGAGGTCATAGTGGAGTTGTCATCTGATAGGTCATTAATAATAATTTCTGATAATATTGCACTACAGAATTCTTAGCATACAACTCAAAGAATCAAGGACATTGCCATAATAAAGCTTCCATTTGCACATACTGAGCTATGTAAAAAAGGTTTCTTGGCTGTATGTCTATAAAGACAATAGGAATAAAATTGCTAAATCCTGTCTCATTCTAGCAAGAAAAAAATGTTTCTTCAGATTCGTGATCTAATTAAAAAAAAAAAAAATAGACCCCATCATCTCATTAAGAAAAACATTTTCAATCAAATTCAACTTTATGTTTATAACAATTTATCAAAAATTATAATATATTTATAGTGTTTTGATTAACTAGTAATTGTGATGATCAACTAGTCACTGTGATGACAGTCACTTGGTCACTTCTGGACCAAGTTAATACTTAGAGCCTTACAGTCACAGGAACTTTTTAAATTAAAATTTAGTTGACATACATATTCAGTTGCAGAAACGTGATAACTTAATCAAGAAAAAAAATTCAAGCATAAAAATGTATTATTATTGTTGTTCTTAGCTGCCATCAAGTAGGCCCTGACTCAAGGCAACCTTATACATAACAGAATGATAATGCTGCCCAGTCCTGTAGCATGAGACATGGAATTGCATGAGACAAGGAATCAAAAAAGGACTTAAATTTCCAATGATAAAGAACATGTATTTTTAAACTAGATGATTATGGGTATCAAAAAGCTATGTATTTACAAGCATTTAGATACATTTAAAAGAGCAATGCAACTTATTTTTATGCATCAAAAGTAAAATATTCTGAAAATCACATGCTTTCCAAATACTTAAAACTTTTGCTACATGTCAACTTAAAAACATGCAAAGGGTACAAAATATTTCAGAATTCTCATGAGGGCATATGAGCAAAATGTTCAAGATAGCTGCTTAAGACCAGTGCAGCAGTTACAAAGAATGATTTATACCTAATGACAGAAAATTTTCCAAGATGTAAAAATAAAAAGAACAAGTTATAAAAAGCAATGTATATGGTTTGATCCCATTTGCATAAAATGAAAGCCACACAAAACACTAAATTTCTGATTGTATATGTTTGTAAAGAAA